CTGTCCCTCTTTGAAAGTGGTGTGTTAATGTCTCCTACCACAATTGTAGAGTTGTCTATTTTTCCTTTCAAATAAGTTAATGTCTCTTTATGTATTTTGGAGCACTTTCATTGGGTGCACAGGTATTAATTATGGTGATTTCTTCTTGGTCAATTGATCCTTTTAGCATCATATAGTATCCTTCTTGGCCCCTTATGCTGTTTTTTACCTTGGAGTCTATTTTATCAGAGATTAATATTGCCACTCCTGTTCTTTTCTGGTTGCCATTAGCTTGGTGTATTTTTTTTCCATCCCTCAATTTTTAATTTGCTTTTATCTTTGTGTTAAGGAAGGTCTCTTGTAGGCAGCATATTGATGGGTCTTCTTTTCTTATCCAATCAGCCATTCTCTTTCTTTTGACTCGTGCATCTAGTCCATTCTCATTTGAGTGTAACTACTGATAGGTATGAATTTATTTCTGTCATTCTATTGTATTTTTTGTTGTGTCATTGTTGATTTCTTTGTTCCAACTATTTTTCGGTGCCGAACTCATTTTTTTATCAAGTGCTTCTTCTCTTTTCTTCATTATTGCTAGCTTTGTGCTTCCTAAGCCCAAATGTTTTTCTTCTTTCTAGGTTTGCTTAGGGGAATTGTTAATTTTTTTTTTGTGGTTACCCTGAAGTAAATTCTTATCTCCTTAAGTTTGGAACAGTCAGTTCTTGTCAGAATCAACTTGAAGGTGACTGATTTGTTTGTGACTGTGTGCACACTTGGTTTATTAGATATTCTTTGGGTAAGGTTCTTTTAGACTTATAAAAGTGTGAAAGTAAGGGAAACTTACAAGGATTGTGCCTTGTAATACTGAATAGATTAGTGGTATGTGTGCTAGGAGAAATAACTATGTACTGCTTTTAGAAGTATTGAGATAGAAAGGTGATGTGCAACAAAGTATACCTAAAGAGATCCTAATGAACAGTGGGAATGGTAAGGTATTTATTTTTGATAATATAATAGATGCATAATTATAAGATAAATGTGTGTGGCAGTAGATATATATATTTATATTATTTATATATAGATTTAATAGGATGTTGATACTGTACTCTAAAGATACTTTTCAATGATGTTTCTCTATGATTTATTCATGAAAAAATAGTGAAACATGTAAAAACAATTACAGATGTTATCTTCAAGAAAAAGTAAGGAAAATATATTCTGAAGAAGAGCATGTTGTTGAAACAGTAATGTTCTTAAAAAAATTTAGTAAAAATCAGAAACCCTTCAAGAAACAAATAGTTGAACAAGTTATTCAGAGCCTTAGGAACACTGCACTAGATGCCAATATCCTCTGGCTTCAATTGCAAAATTCTGTGGAGAATAACAAGCTGTCATTTCCTTTAATGAGAGAATGCTCTCTCTTTAACAATAAACCAGATGAAAATCAAGTTTTTAAGAGTCTGGTTCTACATTTAGTTATACAGAAAACTTCATGTGAAAAAATGTAGTAACAATGAGGATTTTTTGGGTCATGCCATTACATGTTATTTTTGAAGAAAGATTCCAAGGCAAAAGTGAAAGTGATGGTGGTGCTGATGTTATATTTAGCACTTCATACTAGAGTGTCACTCAATAGTATCCTCCCCACTCAAAACAAAAACAAACCAGCTGTCACTGAGTTAATTCCTACTTGTATCAACTCCGATAGGGTTTCCAAGTCTGTACATCTTTACAGAAGTAGACTGCCCATCTTCTCTTGGAGATCTGATGGCATGGTGCCTAAGACATTTTACTGCTAACCAGAAGGCTGGCAGTTCAAACCCACCAGCCACTCCTCAAAAGGAAGGTTGGGCAATCTACTTTCATAGTGATACCACCTTGGAAACCCAAGGAGGGGTTGGTATGAGTTGGATCTGACTTGTCAACAGTGCATTGTGTTGCGTTCTTCTTGGAGAGCTGGTGGGTTTGAACTGCTAACCTTCTGGTTATCAGCCCAATGCTTTACACCAGCAGAGTTCCTTACTTAATAATACAGCAGACAGAATTTTATTTTCCACTCTTGCATTTGGTGATTCATAGTGGAAGAGTCTTTGTACAACATAGATTCTGATTCCTTACATTCTGCCTAATTTAGATTAATTCCCCTATCTTCTGCTGAGTATAAGATAAATTGGTTTGAGTTTGTGAATTTGCTTTTAAATTCAAGAAATAAATTAACTGCTGAAAGTATTCGGAAATGTGTCTCCATTTAGGCATTTTTTTTTTAATGGATGTAGGAAAAATTTTAAAATTAAGCCTCACGATAATTAAACTCAGTAGAAAGAGAAATTATTGATAGTGACAGCTCAGAAAATTAACCTTTCTACATAATATTATTTGGGGCAGATACTGCATTTGCTAGTTTTAGAATTTTTCTTTCCCTTATTCTTCTTGGAAAATAAAATTTTACATGCTTAATACTGTGCAAGACAGGAAATAAGAGAATAATAATTTTTTTGTTTTACTGTAAATCTCACTCATCAATTTTTTTAAACAAATTCAACAATCATCATATTGTAGGAAGGTTGGATTCATAATCATAGTAAAACTTTTGTCCTTGGTTAAATAAAGGCCACCTGAACAACTGAAATAAATATGCTTACTTCTCTGTGCTTCAGTTTTCTCTGTTTTAATATTAGGGTACTTGCCTCAGGTCCTTCCTGGTTTGGAACAATTCAATTCTCCTCCCTTTTCTTTTTAACTAAAAGAAACATTAACTCCAAGGATTACTGTAATTATAAATAAAAATAAATGTCACATTCCTTCTATTCATCTGTAAGCAAATTTACAATTCTTTATTTCAGACATTAAATCACTTGATAAAATGAATAGATTTTAAAAGCCAGCCTTTATTGCACATTTACAATATAGTCAACAATTTCCTAGTTAAACAAACTACTAAATTAATTACATTTCAGACATGCATTGCTCCTTGAGATTACTAAAATCAGTACATTACTTATTTCTTCAGTTGATTAATCTTGAAATTCTAAAAGTGTTAATATCTCCCTAAAGTGGTTCAAACCCACCAGCCACTCCTTGGAAGGAAGGTTGGGCAATCCTACTTCCGTAGTGATACTGCCTCGGAAACCCAAGGAGGGGTCCCTATGAGTCGGGGCCAACTCGATGGCAAGTAACAACAACAAAGTGTCTATTGGTGGGGGCTAGTTTAATATTTTTCTTTTTTGCATTCACTATTCTCTTGCTTTTAATAATAATAATAATAATAATAATAATAAAGTTTCACTAAAGCTATTTTTAGGTCTCTACTAAAACTCTCTTGCTTTTAATAATATTAATAATAATAAAGTTTCACTAAAGCTATTATTAGGTCTCTTCAAAACACATAGTCTACTTCCTTGGTGACAGAAGGGGACACAAGTAGAGATAATTGGAAACTAAACCAAATACACCCTGTTAGACTAGTTCCCAGAGAATAAGATTCATCTTTAATGCACATACTTTGCCTGAGAATAGGCAGTGATTGATTAAACAGTTTATCAACACAGGTTCTATCTGTTTCATTTTGTATTTTCACTGGTTTTTAAATGGAGGGAAAATTCAATCTTAACAATAAGGTTTAAAAGTTACATTGTAAAATTAGAATCCCCAAATCCCCAACCAAGAAGAACTATGAAATTAATAGTGCATTGTTGCTGCTAAGTGCTAGATAAATTAGCTCTTGAATAAAGTTTAGTTTGTTACATGAAAAACACTAACAAATAACTCCATCATTCCCAGGCTTTCCATAAACACCAACAATTTATACAAGGAGACACTGTAAAAACTTCAAAGCACATTAAAAAAATGTTTAAGTAATTGCTATTTATATCATGTAGGTTTTATATTATTGTTCAACCATATTAAGTATGAAAATTCCTAAAATGGAAAGAAAAAATAGCAAAGAAAGCAGAAAACAATGAATCCAATAATCCAGTTCACTGAGTAAATATAGATGATCACCATATCCATGTCAAACCACCATCCACGGCTCTCATCCTCAAAGTGCAGATAATCCATTCTATGTGCACCATGTGGAAACTGCCTTCTTGTAACTGGAGCTGCATGTCTGTGGAAACCTAGAAGATTTAGGAACTTTATTATTTTAAAGCTTGTTCAATTCAGATAGCTTCTCAGACAGGAAGCCTCTTATAAACACAGGTACCATGAACCAAGCATACCTTGTTTTCTCTGACTGGTATGTCATATTTCTGACACTCTTTCAATGACAAACAACTATCATCAGTCTCCTCTACTAAGGATTTTAAGGGCAGAGGCAGTAGAGTTAGCAGAGAGCAGGGGATATGGAATCAGGAGACTATCCTCGTTCTGTCACTCAGTCAAGGGAAGTTATTTGACTTCTCTAGGTTTCAGTTTTCTCATGTAGTATTATACTATCTGGTCTATAGTATACTATGTGATCTATAATTATAATTAAAAACTATGTGAAGATCAAATTTATAATTTTCACAAGATAATTTTCTAAATTTAAGCTTTATTTATGCTTTACTTTTATAGCTACTGTTACAACTACTGTTTTTAACTTCTGATTATCAACTTAAATCTTGTATCTTTCAGCTTGAAATTTCATTCATTCTAGTTATTTGAGCAAAAATATATGGGAAAATGTCTCATTTTGTTTTAGCCTTGAGAAAACTAGATAATATATAATGGCACTCCTTTCAAGCAATTTAGCTTTAATTTTCATAAATTTGATAGCATAAGACTACTTAAGGGGATTGGTTGGCCCATAAAAAGCAAATCTTAAAAGCAAGCTAGTTTATCTGTTATGAAATTAATATGACATTTCTGAGGAATACTACATTTCATTGTAAAATGCTGTTCTTTTTTCTTTGTGATATTTATATGCTAATTATTTAGAGCTTATGTATTAACTCACCTGATGGTGACCACTTTTTGTTAGTTGATCAACATACAATTTCAAAGACATTTAAAAAACAAAATTCAGTTAACTAAAAACTGATAACCTGATTATTAATCTTTTGCTTTCTCCTTATCTATCTCCTATTTTAAGTATTTGTGCTTATTAGTAACTAACACTAACATGTGAACAGGGACAATCATAATGGACTGAGCAGAAAGGATAAAATTCTGGTACTTCTAGAAACTCTGGTGATAAAGTTCTCTGAGACTTCAGCTTGAAGCATATTCTAAATTCAGTTCACCCATTTTAACAACTGAGTAATGTTAAATACTGTGCTGTGGGTCAGACTGGTTATTCTGATGAAAAGGTTGCATACCTCTGGATATTAGTATGGTTACTAATATTTCTTTGTGCAAAGCAACTCTAATGTATGTAAGTTTATTTGTAAATAATATTTACTTGTGTTATGTACATTAAAAAATCATGAAATTGAAAGGATGGGATAAGATGAAATAAATATTTTAAATATAGAACCATATTTCAAATAGCTTTTTCATAATTTCTAATGTTTTTGGATAAGTTTGTTATATATGATTTGACTTTTTTAATCATTCATTTTGATAACTTACAAAAAGTTTATACTAGTAGATGTGTTAGCTCTTCCATTTTCTTCTTTGCCTTTGCATTACTAGTATTATCTTCAATCTGATTTCTTTACAGAATTATTTTTAAGTCTCTGGCCTACTTTGTGCTAGTAGTTTAGCTAAATCTAGATAATAAAATCCAAAAACACATTCAACTGGGCATATATAAACTTCAGTATTATTGCATACATGAAAAGCAAAAAAAACTAATGAAGTCAACCTTTCTATATTGTCAAACTCCCAGTTTTCCCTTAGCTAACATTGCCATGGTCAGTCCTCATTAATTTACTAAAACTTAATTTTTCTTCTATTTAAATAGACATAAAATAAATTTTAATATTATATTCAGATATTCCAGTGGATTGCCTTGACCCCGACCAGTGGGATCCTACTTTGTAGAACAACAATCTAAGGGATTTCAGTTTCATCAGCTTTTCTAGACTATCTAAACCTCTGTTTTCAAAATTGTAGTTGGTATTCTAGTAAAAGGAGACTTTCTGGCTTATATTTGGGAAAGAGGGGAAGCAGAGTCTTCCTCATATTCAAATATTACTCTAATACATGAACAGATTCTCAAAGTCATTTATAAACCTTTTTAAAAATTTGTTCATCAATATAAGATGGAAAACAAGTAACAGTTATTAGAAATTATTATGAAAAATAGATCATGTTTTGTCCTCAAAATGATTATGTGTAGGCCTTACATCCTTTCAGATTCAAAAGTTTTAACTGTTTAGGTCAAAAGAGTAATGGTATTAATGATATATTTGTAGATAACAGAGCTGCAAACAGACGTGGAACAAGAGACGAAGCACTAGGAGTAGAGTGATTGTACGTTTTGGTTTCCTCAGGATAGCCTCAGTTTATTTTGGTTGTCCTGGTATAATTATTAATAGTGTTCCTTTCACTCTAAAATTGTCCTTGGTTAATGCTTATTTCCTTTATTAGTAGAGGGGTGGGGGTAACAAGGCAGTATAGAAAGACACTGGATTAGAAAATTCCCAGCTCCAAACAGAAGATGTTGTTGACCTAGATACCCTCCTTAGGCAACAACTTTTTTGTATGTAGGTGGATAATGATCATTGCTTAAAGTTATTTATTAATTTATTTTTTAGAGAGGAAGGAGTGAGTGGGTGCTTAGAATAAATCTTGAAATTTCCAAGGCTGTAAAATGGATGGAATGGTAACAATTTCTAAATAATAATAATAAAAAAAACCAAACTCACTGCCATTGAGTCATTTCTGACTCATAGTGACCCCCATTTGGGTTTCCGAGGCTGTAAATCTTTACGGAGTAGATGGCTCTGGCTTCCTTCTGCAAAGCAGCTGGTGGGTTTGAACTGCTGACCTTCCGGTTAGCAGTCAAGTGGCTTATCACTATACCAGACTAAAGGAAAATCACCTCAGAGACACTGTTACATGGTAAGCATGAGACAGATGATGATATTAGAAAAATTACTAGAATACTAATCACAGTGACTAGTAGCTGATTTCCACTATAAAATAATGATAAAATCATAGGGCTGTTATGAGGATTAAATGAATTATACACAGAAATACAGTTCCTGACACACAGTAAGGATTCAATAAATGTTAGATTCTTCTTCTTTTATTGTTATTATTCTTGCTACTACTACTTTTAATATGAGGAATAAATTGCCTTTTCTTGCTAGTGCTTACCACATTTATCTTTTCTGGATACATCAGCAAGCTTGCTATTCTTGTGTCTGAACAAATGGCTGTGAAATGTTTTCCTTCAAGTCTGAATTGATTTCTCTGAGGCAGTTGCCATCTTTAAATAGACTGACAGGAATGTCAGAACTGAAGCTATGTAGTTTATTAAACATTTATGGAGAGTATATATATTATAGTAGGCCCTGAATGGCAAATAGTTAAACCCTTGACTACTAGTTGAAGGGCTGGGGACTCAAACCCACCCAGAGGTCCCTTGGAAGAAAGGACTGTTGATCTGCTTTTGAAAGGTTACAGCAAAGAAAACTTTCTGGAGCAGTTCTACTCTGCACACATGCCATGAGTTGGAACTGAGTCAATGGCAATTAACAACAACAGAGGGACTGTATGTCAGTGGCAAGGAATTTAAAGATACTTTAAAATATGGTTCCCGTTTAAAACAGTGTTTCTCAACCTTTTTTCATTTTCATTCTGGTAAAGAGAAAAATTAAGTTAAATTTAATATAAATTTATTATTTTGAGTAATACATTAAATTAAATTAATTTAAATTTAATGTTCCCCTAACATGAGAGAAATTAAAAAGGAAGCAATAGGATTTTGTGAGGTAGGTTGGAGCTAGGGGGAGCCACAAACCATTGTAATATTTAAGATATTTTGTCCTGCAAGAATCAATTATTGTCCCCAATCAAAATGCATGATCTAGGAGACAGTACATTTAAAACCATTACGGTAACAGGCAACGATGCATATATTTTAAAATATAAAACCACTTCCTTCTAGAAATGAATTTGCATTGGAGTTAATGGAGTTAGAAGCTTCTGCACCAGGAATTCACTAGTACTTTGTACAACCTGCAGTTAGTACTGAACTGATAATAATTAGTTAAGTATTCAGACATGGTTTAAAGCATATCTAATAATTTTGTTGTTGTTGTTGTTATGTGCCGTCGAGTCGGCCCCGACTCATAGCGACCCCTCCTTGGGTTTCCAAGGCAGTATCACTATGGAAATA